TAGCTTAAATTAACGACAACATAAGTGAAAACAGCTGTGACTTTAATTCATTTACAGTTAACAACAGTTAACGGATGAGAAAGTATACTTCAGTGCGAAACATCTCAATTGAAAAAGCATTCCAGAAGAAATACTTTTTTATTTTAAAAAGACAGTTAATTCTGTGCCCAATAACTTGTGGGGGAAAAAAGTGATCCAACTCATTTCTTCCATGAGTCCTTCGCCGGAATGACCATCAAATAGCTATGACTGAATATGTAACAAAATAAATAATTCTAAAACTGGTATACAAGTACATCTTTAAACAAACCCCAATGGAGTGCTAGAAGCAAAACACTGGACAATTTCATAGATATACTACACACTTATTATAATGTTTAAGTCTTCATATTTTTTACCACTTGACTTTGGCTATGTACCACTGGTGTCCGCCTCAAATCATGCATCTGCCAACTCAAGTCAAACACTTATTTGGAGGGGGGGGGGTATTGTTTCTTTCTTATTATTTTCCAGAATCACTCAAAATTTTGGATACAGTGTAAATATATATGTGAGGCATCATGGTGAAAACAGGCACTCGTCAAAATAATTAAACCAAAGAAACCAGTATTTTTTTGGCCACTGCACTGTACAATTCTTTACAAATTTTTTGTTTTGGGCTCAATACTTTTTATGTCCATGCAAAATTACATTCCTTTGAGGGTGTTACTGAAAAACGTTCACCAAAGGCACAAAAAATGTAAATTTACAGCTTCCAAGAACACTACAGCTTTGGAAGCCATCAAACTTCGGCTTTTATTACCACTGACACCAGGCAACCTCCACCTCCTTCAATCTAATTATCTCAATTCTATTTTAAAAAGAAGGAATTATTTTTCATCACAAGCTCAACAAATGAACAAGCTTTAAAATGATACCAATATATCCACAAGCCCAAAAACTGACGAGTGCCTGATTCCACCATATCGTGACACATTTATAATAAAGAGCATATATCACCAGATGTAATTATTATTATGTATATGTCAGACAAAAGAAGTGTTTGGCCTACTTTGGTGGATACATGGTTAAAGTAAGATACCAACAACACACATCTTTAAAGCAGTGTTTAACAGAAAGGAAGAGACGGACAAAAAAAAACATGACAAGATAATAAGTGAGGGTGAGAGAGCAGCTGAGGTGAAAAAAAACACAGTTCGACAGATAGATGAGCAAAGCCAAAGCTCACTCTGCAATAGATTCCCATCACCACACAGAAAGCTGTTACTGAAAGGATTTTGTCTGACAATCAAAGCCACTTGACATCATCTAGCTCCGTCGCTACGTTTTGGGTACTGTAAGATGGCGATACTTGTGCAACTACACACAACTCGTTTACTTCACACACTTCCTTACCACAAGCTGGAGGTTCATTGTGCTTGTTTGTTTGTTTGTTTGTTCGTTTGTTTCTACTGCCTCTTCCCCTGCAGCAAGTTGGTGACATCAATATAGTAGCACTAAAGTATTTCATGACACTTATCCTTTTGTTTGTGACTTAGTTTGTGAGTTTATTTGTTTGCCTGTTTGTTTGCTTGGATAAAGAGAAGCACATAAACACTTGCTATTGCCTTTTCCCCTGTAGCAAGTTGGCAACATCAGCATTGTATCACATAAGTATTGCGTGACACTTTTCCTTACAAGCTGCTCCTTCAGGGTGTTTGTTTGTGTGTTCGCTTGCCTGTTTGTTTGTTTGCTCAGGTAAAGAGAAGCACATTGACACGATAACAGTCATTAAGTGTCGGAAAAAAAACAAGAAAGACAGACAGAAACCACAGAGAAACAAGCAACATTTATAAATGTTTGCCATAATATTTAGGTTTTACATAGCTGTCCGAGAATTTATATTCAGAACTCTGCAGCTTGTACACTCCAAGAGCTGCTTCATCCTACAGCACTGGCTTTCACTACACAGACATTCTGAATATTGTGAGGAACCAATTTCAACGTAAAATTGACAATTATACTTTGTTTAGTAAGAGTTTTACGGCACTTGCAACATATTAAGGTCATATAAGTGCCCCAGATTAGAGGTGTTACAAGAGAGTAACAAACACAAAAAAGAAGAAGGAGAGATAAGGACGATAGATGTTTGATAGGAAATAAGAAGCAGACCACACCAGAGCACCTGCCAACCATCCAAGGGTGCAGCACTGTGTGGTAACTGTAGTCACTAACAAGTTCAAAGTACCTTTTTAAAAATTAAATTTAGGTGTTTTTACTCCCCCATCGACTTACTTCAGGTTATTTAGGAGGCAGGCTTCTGACCCTGCCTGTCAGAGCCAAAGAAGACTGAGAGGGTAACAACATCCCAGCAGAAAGACTGAGATACTCGATAAAAATTCTCCCTACTCAAGAATTAAAATCGGGTCTCCTGCGTGCGACAGCGAAGCACGTAACCACTCCACCATAGACACTAGCAGCAAAACATCTATCCCAAAAACTACTATAATCAAGAAAGAACACTGAGATCCAGATCTGAACCTTTCAAGAAATAGTCGAGATGCAACTTTCAGTAAAAATCTGCTGACATAGGGAGGGTAAAGACATAAAATAATTAATTCAGGTGCTTGTGTAAATGGTGTACATATGTTGCAAACTATATTTTAGATATTTTACAATTTTACTACACTTTAGTATATATACGGTGAAGCACAAAATAACAGTGTAAAGTTCATGCTATTATCATTATTATTATCATCATTATTTTAATTATTGTTATTTCTATCATCATTATTTCAGTTACCATAACGATTATTGTTATTATTAGTAGTAGTATCATTATTATTATTATTATTATTATCATTATTATTATTATTATTATTATCATTATTATTATTATTATTATCATTATTATTATTATTATTATCATTGTATTACTGCCATTATCCTTATCAATGTTGTTGTTACTATCATTATTATTATTATCATCATCATATTTAATGTTAATATTTTTAGTAAGACAACATAGGCACAAATATTTACTATACATATAGCGTTAGACACTACTGTGTATTAGACAACATCAACAGAGATCAGCAGAACAACTGATGGAAACAGAAACAACTAGGAACATCAATTACTAGCTCCCTTGATTAAATCTTGAAATCTATTCATTACTTCAACTTATAACTAAATTGTTCAATCATATGACCATTTGACCACTAGACATAAACCTCAGGCTGAGCAAAAAAATTGGAAGGGTGTTAATTCATCCCAGTGTCTAACCTGACCTTGTATAGACCCGTGAATCATTCTCTTATCTCAAAATTTAGGTAAAAAAACAGCACCAAATAAATGTTACGACTCCCAAGTACTCAAAATAGCACGCTGAAGTCAAACCTTTGATGTCTTACAGGGCAAGAACTATAAAAATAGATAAAGTCAGTAGAAATCACGAAAAGTATCGTAAAAAGAAAACTTGTCACACATAAAAATACTGAAAAAAGCCCACCTATAGAAAAGCCCACCAATAGATAGGTCACACAAACAAAGATAGAAGGAGAAATAAAGAGTGTAAAAACACCAGACACTATTGTAATGTGCATGGTGGACAATATACCCAGGAAAACTTGACTGCCTGCAAGTATGGTTTCTGTGAGTTCAGGACTAGTGGACCAATAATTATTGTTAACTGAGATCAAAGCTAAGGTCACAGCAGTGACTGTTCAACCAATCCTTTTAGAAATGTTGACAAATCAATAGTTCAGTAGCATTTAACCTCCTCAAGATTTTATATTAATGTGGAGAATATAAGAAGTTTTTACTGAATACAGAACATTAATCGCCATAGAGAAAACAGTATCATGAATTTGTATTAAATGATACAATGTTTGTTTTTACTTTATAGCAGAATTTATTTTTCTTTTCTGAGAAAACAACAGCAGCGTATTTGAGGAAAAATTTCTACAACTGTTTCGGTTTCTATTCAAAACATGTACAAAAATTGACAGTTGATCTCAAATTAAATTCTTTAAACAAAGCAAAAGTCTTAGACAAGCCATTACCAATTGCAGTCGTCAAGTTGAGAGACAAAGGAATATGAGCTGAAGACAACGAAATAATGTGAGATACTCGGTGAGTGAAATACACTGGCATTCTCAACGGTTTCTCGGACTAAATTCTGGTCTTTCACTAACTAAATTTTTTCTTTATGCATTTACAGCTGTTATAACATTCATCACAGATTATTGCAACTTCTATATATGTATTAAAAGATCACATTATTTAAAGATTTTTTTACAAGACATTAAATCTTTTCTTTTAAGACCACAATTTATCAGTTTGTCAAGAAAATAAAAATGAGGAAAAGAGATCTAAATTAGAATGAAAGTTCAACTATCTGAACTTCTTCCTCTGAATAAGTTAAATATCATTATCTTAGATTTGGCAGTAAGATTATTTCTACTATAATAATTAAACAAGTTTATCAGCAGACAAGAATTTGCTTAAACCATTTTGATTGATTTGCTTTTTTGATTTTGTTTTTTATATTGAAGGGAGGCTTTCAGGGTCGGGGGAGGGGGGAGGGAGGAGGATGGGGGATGCGAAGTTTGAAATTTGCCAAAGTTTTCTTTTTGAGCACCGCTGCAGCTTTTGCCACATGTCAAGCCCGCGCTGTCGCACAAACCCTGAGGATGCCGAGTTCTGAGAGTGAAAACACAAGCTAGGGGTGAGAGAGGAAGCCGGCTGTAGAGCAAGCGCCCGTCTCAGCGACAGCGAGACAAAGGAATTGCCTTAACTGTGTCCTCAAGTTGTCTCAGCAGGCTGTGCATCAGCTGGTGCTCCAGGCGACCCAACTCCCGTGCCCACATGCCCAGCGCGGGCAGGAACACGTGTAGCGCCGCTCGCTGAACGCGCTCCTTCGAGTCTTTGAGCGCACTCATCAGTAGCTCATAGCCCTGAGGGGGGAATGACGTAGGGGGTGGGTGTCATTTATTAGTGGAAGAGGATGAAACAAGGGT